GTGGTACACATCTATGTACCCGGCTACAACAGAAAGTAGGTAGATCCTAATCACGTTCAAGGGAACTGAGATCCTGTCCTAAAAATAACGAGTGAAAAACAGGACTGGACATGGGACTCAATAATAGTATTGTGCTAACCTAGCAAGAATGAGGCCCTGGGGGCTGGGAAGGTGGCTCAGTGGTAGAGCGCTTGCCTTGCATGCATGAGGCCCTGGGTTCAATTCCTTAGCACAACATAAGCAAAAAGAAAAAAGCCAGAGTGGCACTGTGGCTCAAGTGGTAGAGCACTAGCCTTGAGCTGAAGAGCTGAAGGACAGCACCCAGGCCAGAGTTCAGGCCCCATGACCTGACCCCCCCCCCAAAAAAAAAATGAAGCCCTGGATGAAAATCCCCAATATTGCCTGAAAACAAAACAAGCAAGCAGTATCAAATGCTGGCAAGGATTGGTAAGGATGGTAAACCCTTATACATGTTTGGTAGAAATCAATACAGAGGTTCTTTTAAAAACTAAAAACAGAAGCTGACCTGGTGGCTCACATCTATAATCCTAGCTACACAGGAGGTTGAGATATGAGGATCATGGTTTGAAGCCAGCTTAGGCAGGAAAAGTATGTGAGCCTCTGTGTGTGTGTGTGTGTGTGTGTGTGTGTGTGTGTGTAAGTGTGTAAGTCATGGGGCTCGAACTCAGAGCCTGAGTGCTGTCCTTCTGTCCCTGAGTTTTTGTGCTCAAGGCTAGCACTCTACCACTTTGAGCCACAGCTCCACTTCTGGTTTTGGTGGTTAATTGGAGATAAGTCTCATAGACTTTCCCGCCCAGGCTGGCTTTGAACCATGGTCCTCAGATCTCAGCCTCCTAAGTAGCTAGGATTACAGGCGTGAGCCACCAGCACCCGGCCTGTGAGACTCATTATCTCCACTAAAATTGCCCCAAAAGCCAGAAATAGTACTGAGACTCTCATGGTAGAGCCCCAGCTTTAAGCAAAAGGAAGCTCAGGGACAATGCCTAGGACCCGAGTTCAAGCCCTAAGACTGGCACAAAAAAATAAACAAAAAACAACCAAAAATAGAACTGCCATATGATCTGAGAATCCTACTCCTGGGCATATATCCAAAGTAAGTCAGAATACAATAGAGACAACTCCACACCTTATTTTCTGCAGCACTGTTTACCATAGCCAAGTTTTGGAATCAGCTGAGTACATATCAGCACATGAATGTGTTGATTAAGAAAACGTGGTATGGGGCTGGGAAGGTAGCTCAGTGGCAGAGTGCTTGCCTTGCATGCATGAGGCCCTGGGTTCCACTCCTCAGCACCACATAAGCAGAAAAAGTCGGAAGTGGTGCTGTGGCTCAAGTGGTGGAGCTCTAGCCTTGAGCTAAAGAGCTGAAGGACAGTGTCCAGGCCTAGAGTTCAGGCTCCATGACAAAGTAAATAAATAAATAATATATATATTGAAAAAAAGAAAACATGGTATATATGTTCAATTGAGTTATATTCAGCTATGAAGAAGGAAATTATGTTACTTGCAGGAATATGAATGGAATTAAAGACTATCATGTAAAGCAAAATAAACCAGATTTGGACAAATGTTGCATAGTTTCTCTTATATGCCAAATCTAGATTTTATAAAAAGACATGAATATAGAAGGGGACTATTTTGGAAAAGGAGGGGACCAGTGGGAGGGTAAACGAGACTCGGAAAGACCAGTATTGCATGTTTTATATGCCAGTTGAAGATTTTATAACAAGACCTGAACATAAAAGGAGACAGTTTTGGAAAAGGAAGGGGACCAGTGGAAGGGAAAAAGGGACGGGACAGAGGGTAATGGACATGAATGTGCTCAAAATACCGTATATATGAAAATGTCCTAAGGAACCCATTGAAAAATATCCAGAAAGAGGTGGCCCTGCTCAAAAAGGAATGCACTCCTTACCTGACCTATGTAACCATAACCCTTCTGACATCACCTTTACAATAAAAATAAATTTCTTTGAAGTCCAAGAAATAGACTATCTCCAGATATGAGTTCAGCATGTAAATTTGGTGGTGAGGAGACATATTCAGTTCATCAGCACTCCAAAAGTAAACTGTCTGGCTTTTGATCTCTACTTACAAACTTGAAGACATTCCGTTAACTTGTTTAGGCCACAGCTTCCTCTTGGCAAAACTGCAGGCAGTCTTAGTGCCTGTCTGGGGGCATTATAAAGATTATATAAAAGAAGCTACATATTGGACTAGAGAAGGGCCCTCCCTGTGTACAGCAACCATAGGTTGACATTATGCATAGAATCCTCTTGGCTCTGAAAACGATGTCCTTCTATGGTGACCTACGGGTAGTGTCCATCCTGGATTTCCATTTCTGAGAATGGGATTCCTTCATGAGAATGGAATCCCCAGGCCAGGAATGTTCCAGAAGCCAGTGTCATCTTCAGAGTCAGGTTAGCCTTGAGGGATTCTAAAAAGGACAGAAGGACTGGTTGAGGGTTTGAGAGGAGGGAAATACGCACTAGAGCCAGTTGGCGGGAGCAGCCCCATCATCTGAAGATCACACTGGATTCCTTTGGCTTCTTTTTAGCTCTAAGGAAAAAAGATTTTGCATAAACGATTAGGTAACAAAAGGCAGCACAAGTTTATTGTCTACCATTTTGAAAATGCAGCAATCTATGAAAAACAGGATCACCCGTGCCTATTCTGCTCAGAGTGCTATCTGCTAAACTTCCTTTGTAGCCAAAGGGACCAGTGTCGAAAGCTAGTCCTTTCCCTTGGAATGTGAGACCCTTAACAGGTTCCCTTTATCTGCTATTTTCAAAAGTTGTGTTCAAATGGGATCATCACATCCTTCTGCTTTGCAGGGTTGCTACGTGGATGAAATGTGGTGCCCAAGATCTGGTATTAATTTACTGAGAGCCATTACTCTTATTTCTACTAAAGGCAGTGCCTTTGGCTTTTGATTGCAGCAGCAAAGTTCAGACCAGAATCCCCTATTTATTCCTATACCACTCTCCAGGTTCTCCATCCACAGTGTTTGGTGAATGCTGCAAACCAATGTTGTCATTTGCAACATGGATGTAAAAGTCCGTGTAGCAGTGTTCTATTGCCTGTTTTTCCTCTTACATTAAAGTGGCTTGAAAAGGTGAGGATTATACGTTCATGCAGAGGATTAGGTGTTCATATGTGTTCAGCAACCCCCAAAGCCACCATTCCCCTCTTGCCACACAAACTTGGACCTCTCCTTTACCAGTCATACCTGGACTTGGCTTGGAGAGTGTGTTGGTGGGGAGGGGGAGGGGCAGGGAGAGGAAAGAGGGTGGGGGAGTGAGAGAGAATGCAAATATTAATGAATTTGGCCAGAGTAGCTATTTATGTCACCTAAAAACTAAATCCAGTTCCAGGTTATTGCTTAGGAAATTAAGACTCCAGTTTTCAGAGAGTGGAAAACTGGAATGTGTCCAGCCTCAGACACAGCTTGTGGCTCTAGCTAAGGCTGTCCCTGTTTCCATCTTCCCTAGTCTCTCTATCTCATCTCTCCCACAGCCTCTATGCTAGTGCCTTCCATGCTAGGGAACAAATGTCTTCTCCTTTGAGGTCAGAAGGATGCCTTGCAGGGAGCAAGCAGATGTCCACAGAGCCCAGTTGTCACTCCAGCCACTTGTCTTGTTTGCCAGCACTCCCTGAGTTGCAGTCCCCAAGGATCCGCCTTTCCTAACAGCAACACCAGCACCTGGTGCTCAGACTCAGAGGACACTGAAAGGTCTCTTAGTGTTAAGATTCCATGCATGCCACCTTGACAGGCTTGGCAACAAAATCCCCAAACCCACTATTCAAACCCAATCCATCGAGAAGAGCAAGCCAACCTCCGGACAACTGACTTATCTGCTTTCAAGAGCTATGCCTTCCACGGATCCAGAGGCTTGTCCTTGAGACATGTCCTTGCAAGAACTTGCCTGGTAGCAGGTGAAATGAAATGATGAGGACAAGAGAAAACATGCTGCTTCCTCCACTCTCTTCATAGTAATGTCTTAGAGAAGTCAAGCATTCTCCTGGACATAGACTTGCCAGATATCCCAGAAACAAATAGGATATTAGTCTACTTACTCAGGCCTGAGACCAGTTTGGTTGTGTCAGAGTTTGGGAAGTCTGTGAGGTTAGTCACTGGTTTACTTGCCAGTTTTGAGAATCCTCCACCTGAGGCCAGAGAGAAGGAGCCAGCACAGAGATGACTGGTGGGATTCTGTTTTGAGGGCCTCAAGCTATGGATGGGAACAAAACCAGTGATGTAAAGCATTTGATCCTGCAAAGACACTTGGTAGAGGCAGGAACAGCTTCTTAGAAGGGGTAAGGGGCCAGTTGAATTGGATCCCAAAAAATGAAGTTTGCTCTAGATGAAGGCAGGCCTCATTTGACCCCCAAATCTCTGGAGATGGGGGCTTTTCAACAGCTCTTCAGTGCGTTTGCAGCCCACAAACAGGGAAGCAAGCATCTATGGGAGGGTCCTCTGTGTTGGCCTTGCCTCCTATAGGCCCAAATAAACGGCATCCCATGTGAAGAATGTTCCCAGTTAGACAGCTGTGAGGTCTGGAGCCTCTGGTATCTCTGGGACACCATCGGGTACAGGAGAGACACTGATCCTAGAAGACATGTCGTTTGACTCAACTACTTGGTAGCCACACATTCTTTCACAATTTCAGCATTCATATCTGTAAAAGCAACTCTTAGTTATTTTTGGAATAAAACGAGGTCATAAATATGAAAATTCTTTATAAACTCCCAGCACTTTGGGAAGGTAAAAGGTGATGTTTCTGTGGGTCCAACTTCCCCTACTCTTGGCCACACTGTGATGTTACGGAGAGGCTGGTGACCCCAGCTGGCTCTAGAGCTAATTTTCTCCAACGATGAAGCAACAGGGACTTCCTGTCCCTGCTCACTCTGAGCAAGGAGCCTTATGGGCAGTGACAGAGACTTTGACCTTGAACTGGTTCCCTTCTCTCCCTCTTTAGGAACATGCTTGCCAATTCAGCCAGCGTGCGAATTCTCATCAAAGGAGGGAAAGTGGTGAACGATGACTGCACCCATGAGGCTGATGTCTACATCGAGAATGGCATCATCCAGCAGGTGGGCCGTGAGCTCATGATCCCCGGCGGGGCCAAGGTGATCGATGCCACTGGGAAACTGGTGATCCCTGGCGGAATCGATACCAGCACCCACTTCCACCAGACCTTCATGAACGCCACATGTGTAGACGACTTCTACCATGGGACCAAGGTAAAGCTCTTGTTTACTGGAGGTGTGGCTTCCTCCTTGCTTCTTTATTCTGCCCCAGGTGAGACCTGGGTGAATAGGTGCTTTTGCTGTATTGCTACCATGAGTGTGGCTAGAGGCCACTGAGATGACTCGGAGAAAGATTTCTGCCCAAGTATAGATGGCACCAAAAGGAGGCATCTAGGCCTGTTTGATGGCACCACTTAGCCATATATCCGTGTTTTTCTGTGTTATGTAATATTGACTAGAGAGTGGTGTTTATTATTGTGGAACAGCTTGTTTTTGTAGGGGGAAGGATTGGTTTGGTGGACTCATTTATACATAAGATAAATTTGGTTCCCAAAGTCTGTGAGATTATAAAGTCACCTATTTAGCTGGTTTTAATAGTAAAAATTTTAAGAGAGACATACCTAGCTTCTATGATCTCTCCTTATCTTATTCATTTATTGTGTGTGTGTGCGTGTGTGTGTGTGTGTGTGTGTGTGTGTGTGTGTGCATGTACTAGTCCTAGGGCTCAAACTCAGGGTTCTGTCCCTGAATTTTTTGCTTAAGGCTAGCCCTCTACCACTTGAGCTCTGTTTCCCATCTTTTGGTGATTAATTGGAGATAAGACTCTCAGAGACCTCCTATCCCAGCTGGCTTTGAACTGTGATACTCATCTCAGCCTCCTGAATAGCTAGGATAACATATATTAGCTACCAGCATGAGGCTTGTCTATTATTTTTAAAAATAACTTGGGATGAACTAGTGGGTTTTCTATTAAGTGCAAGTTACCTTGTTTCCTCTTTTTTTTTCTTTTCAGTACTAGAGTTCTAACTCAGAGCCTTACATTTGTTCAACTGTACTCTACCATTTTGAACTGTAACTCTAGCCCTGCTTTGTTCTAGTTATTTTGGAGATGGAGTCTCATGGACTTTTTTTCTGCCAGGGTTGGCCTCAAAGCATGATCCTCTGGATCTCAAGCCCCTGAGCATAAGCCAACCAGCACTCAGCTTTCAGTGAGAGTTATCACGGACAATATTTAACACTTATAGAGCCAGGTCTGAGCTACTATAGGTCCCTGAATACAAAATACAGAGGTTCAAACCTGTGAAACATACAAATCAGGAGGAAATTACCGTGTGCAAAGAGCTGCAAAAGGTTCTTTTGCTTTTTGTCTGTGTTCTAGAAACCTGTCATTGCTAGCCTTTCCTTGACTTTACCGAGGCCAAGACCTGGACATAATCCTTTGTTTTCCCAGACCCTGCACTCACCTAGAGAGAGCAGCTGCCCCATAAAGTCTTTGTTGAGTGAAGGAATAAGTGTCACTACTGTGTGTGGGTGTCAGAAGGGGTGCTTTACAATAGAGTTGAATCAGAAAAGGAGACAAGTCCCCACCCTGGCAGCAGCCTCTTGTAGTGCCTGATTTATGAAGGACTCTCCTCTGATTGAAAAGGATTCACAGGTCCTACTCCTATGGCTGCAATCCAACTTCTGCTTAGCCCCTCAGCCTCAAATCCTCCATGAAATCCCTTCTCCATTCTCTCTGGCATTTTCAGGGAACCTCTCCTGTGCACAGACCTCTCCCCCAGTGATTCAATTTTTGGGGACTCAGGTGTTTCTGTTGTTATGTAATGATGGATGAGGACTCCTAAACCCACCTTAAGGAGCCTGGCTGGGGTTGCAGGAGAGGAGGTTGGTCTTGGGGACACAGTCCTATGAGCCTATCCACTGAAGCAGGTGGCTTGCAGATCTCCCTGAGGGGTTGACACATCCACTCCCAATCCACAGGCTGCAAAGTAGACCCTTGGAAGACTGCACTGGTAGGGCTCACAATAGCCAAGACCAGATGTACGGATGCTCCGTGGCCTGTGTGTGGGATCATACCTGCCCACTCTAGCTGAGCCCAAGAAAGAAAATGTAGTCAGACACTCCCAAATTGGACTCTGAGAGCTCCCCTGAACCCTGCAGCTTATGCTTTGCTAATGAAATGGGAAATCCCATCCTTACAAACTTCTGTCCTCTTGCAAGTTAACCCTGATGGCATCAAGACCTTCCTGAAGCAGCTAAGTATAGCCAGATCACCATTCCATACACTGAACTAACCCAGTGGTTATTGTCACTAGCAGACAAAGATATACAAATAATAAGTACAAATAATAAGTAATAATATGCAGTACACAAATAGTAAGCATACTGAGTTGTTACAACTGAATGTAGCTTGAATGCTCCCTGTCAATTAACCAAACATTATTATCACCAACAAACTCCTCCCAGACACTGCTTCCCACTAAGAGTACCCATTATTCTGATCTACAGTATTATAACATTTTCTGAGTGTAATGGCTCAAGCCTAGCTCCTTGAGAGATAGAGATTGGGGGATCGTGGTTCAAGGTGCTCACCTATCATCCCAAAGACAAAGGGAAGGAAACAGGATCACAGTCCAGGCTAGCCTAGACATAAAGCAAAACCCTATCTTGAGAACCAACACAGAAAGTAACTAGCAGAGTAGCTCAAATGGTATAGCACCTGGAGCAGGCACAGGGCCCTGAGTTCAAACTCCTGTCCTGCCTGTCCCCCTCAAAAAAATTAACATTTTTTATGTAGTAGGTTGATATATACTTCACATACACATTTTACCTATTTAAAATGTGAGCCAGTAGTTTTTAGAATCTTTATCATAGATTTTGTGTGTGAGTGTGGTTGTATTGGCACAGTATTAAATAGTATTAAACACAGTATTAAACTCAGAGCCTGAGCTCTGTGCCTTACATTCTACCACTTGAACCACAGTTCCACCTCTGGCTTTTTTGGTGGTTAATTGGAGATGAGCATCTCATGGACTTTCTTGTCTAAGCTAACTTCTAACTTTGATCCTCATATCTTAGCCTCCTGAGTTGCTAAAATTACAAGCATGAACCACTGGTTCCTGGCCATGGATTGGTTTTGATTATTTATGTAATTGAAACCAAGGAGTACATTCCCTTAGGTTGAAGTATTTGTCCATATTGTTTTGTTTTTTGTTTTCTGGGGTTTTTTTGAGGGGGGGGAGTCAGTTGTGGGGCCTGAGCTCTGGGCCTAGGCACTGTCCCTCAGCTCTTCAGCTCAAGGCTAGTGCCCTACCACTTGAGCCAAAGCACCACTTCCAGCTTTTTCTGCTTATGTGGTGCTGAGGAATTGAACCCAGGGCCTCATACATGCAAAGCAAGCACTCTACCACTGAGCCACCTTCCCAGCTGTTCATATTGTTGTGTAAATACCAGTGGGCACTTGGGCCTTGCCATTTTGGGGTTCACATACACTATTGCTATGAATTTTTTTTTTTTGGTCAGTCATGGGGCTTGAACTCTGGGCCTGGGTGCTGTCCCTCAGCTCTTCAGATCAAGGTGAACACTCTACCGCTTGAGCCACAGCGCCACTTCCGGTTTCCTAGTGGTTTTATTGGAGATAAGAGTCTCATGGACTTTCCTACCAGAGCTGGCTTTGAACCAAGATCCTCAGATCTCGGCCTCCTGAGTAGCTAGGATCACAGGCGTGAGCCACCGGCGCCCGGCTCTATGAATTTTTTTTGTACATGTCTTGGCAAACATGTATGTATGCATTTAAAAAACTTTTGTATTGTTATTAGAAAGGTGATGTACAGAGGGGTTACAGTTACATAAGTCAGGTAATGAGTACATTTCTTTATGGACAATGTTACTCCTTCCCTTGCTATCTCCCAGTTTTCTCCTCCTATCTCCACCCACAAGCTGTATAGTTCATTTTGAGTACCATTGTTGCATTTGTTCACCCTTTGTTCCTCAATCTCTGTGCCCCCCGCCCTCCCAAAGACTAAGAAATGAACAAACAGGACAAAAAGAAAAAACAATGAAGGAATAAATCTTGTTTCCATTCCTGGAGTTAATTTCAGTAAATATTATTTTATGTGATCAGAGGCACATAGGCATTGTGCATTGTGCCTTTGTGTTCCTTCCCTAAGAATATACTTCGTTGGTCTCACTGTGTGTGAATGCCTAGAGTCCTATATAATTTATCATGTTGCATACACATTTTGTGTGCATGCAATTGCTGGGTTATTATATAGTCCAAGTGTGTTGAGGTTTAGTAGATTCTGCCAATTAGTTTTCCAAGCTAGTTGTGACAATTTATACTCCCAGCAAAAGCATAAGAGAGCCCACAGTGTTTAATATCACTGTGATTCTAATAATCACACTATTCTGTCCTGAGGTTCTTTCTCTATGCTCAGGCCTTGTACCAAAAATTATAGTTTGCTGGTTGCTGTCCTTGCTTGTGGGACATGTTTAGTCCAGGGCCACATCTCACTGTCACGGAGCTATTTACCAGCCTCACAGAGGGCAGGCTGGCCTTTCCTGTCTTCCATTCCACATTGTCTTCTGCAGGGGCCTCATTAGCTAGGAATGACAGGTTTTCCCCTCATGGCTTTCAGAGCAAATGAAGCACTCTGCACACAAATCCTTGTGAAAGGTGGTGGGTAACTCTTGATATTTTCTAGGCTTCTCATCCACAGGAGCAGCCGCCTCCAGAAAACATCCAAAGGCCTTCATGGGATTAAAGACCCAGATCTCTCAGTTTCTGTAGGTTTGAGTTGCCTCAGGCACCCCCATCCCATGTCAGGAACTAGTTGTGAGGAATTTAGATCGCAGTCTAAACAGCCATCCTGGTTGTTAGTGTCACCTAAAGAGACTCTTTGTTATCTCCATCCTCTGAGCAACAGTGTTTCTTGTCCTACCCGGCCCTTTTACTCTTCTCTCAGTAGACCCAATACAGTTTTGCTCAGGCCTCCACCCCAACAAGGAACTTTCCGTTGTTCCTCCCTCAATTCCTGCATTTCTTTTCCACCTTACTGTTCCTACATTAAATACTTTGGCTCTTGACTTTGTATTTCCACTAGTTACTCCCCAGGTATAAAATCTCAGGAGAGAAAATGCCCCCATGTTGAGGTGCTGGCTGATGGGGATGTGCGGGTTTAATTAGTCTCAGCACCTTAGCACTTGTGGAGGGG